TTCTAATCAAGCACAGTAAGAGGCATTCACAGGACCACTGTGATCTCACAAAGAACTGCCCACCAAGGAATGTATGGGAGATAGGTGACCTGTCTGCACTCCTGATCACTGACTGTGTCTTTCCTGTTAGATGTTTCTATGGCTACAAGAATGAACACCAACTATGGGTGCTAACCATTATTAAACAGTCTACATACATTGTGTCTAAGACCAGCAACATCTCTACATTGTATTACAAAGTGTTTAAAAGAGGCTTAGTGTGTGTAAGTAATTTGCTAATAGATGGCAGAGCTGAAGATTTGATTGTGTGTGCAGCTACTCTGGGGTCCAAAGGCAAAGTTATAAAGGGAAGTTTTGTGATTCATTTGATTGGAAACCAGATATAACCAGGCATCTTACAGAACTGAGATCAAGGACCTGTGTGGAAAGTAGAGATGACTAGGGATCCATATGCCTCCCCAGCTAACGGAGCTTTGACCAGAATCCTGTGGCATCTGGATGCTCCCACATATTTATTTATTGAACAAATACTTCCTACGTTTCTGCCACCCTCTTTCCTAGGTGTTAGGTACACAGCTGTGAACAAAGCAGACAACAATCCCTGTCCCCATTGAGCTTATGTTCTATCCAGGGAGATCATAAACATAATAAGTAAATTTTCAGTATATTGGAAGGGGATGTACTGTGGGAAGAACTGGAACAGGTAATAGAGAGGGACAGGGTACTGAAATTTAAAGGAGGTTAGTTGGAGTATAGTTCTATTTTGTTTTCTGCTGTGCTGGGGATGGAACCCATGGCCCTGAGTATGCTCTCGGCAAGTTCTCTTTCACCGACCTACACCTTCCAGTCATTTAATGGAAGTACCTTCCAAGAGGAAAAAACAGACAATATAAACACCCTAAGACATAATGTATTTGCCTTCAGGAACAGTACAGAGTCCAGTGTGGCTGAAGCAAAGATTGGGACAGGGAGATAGCCTAAGAGCAAGATAGTAGTTGTCAGAGAGGTACTGAGGACAGAAACCCTAAGGGCCTACAGGGCTCTGTTAAAAGCTTCCCTTTCACTCATGGAAAGAAGGAGGAAAGAAAACCTTGAGGCAATCAAGCCTCTTGGGGAGGGGGAAACTAAGATTTTTGTTGTCTGTTATCAAGAAGAATTAGGGTTTAAAATAGAGATTTCTGAGTTACAGAAAGCAAAAGCAATATTTTTGAAGTGTTGAATTTGAAGTTTGTGAAATTCTATTACATAAAGTTGTATTTTACTTTATTTTGCAAAATGCTTAGGAGAGAAGTGAAAACTTTCCCCCTGAAAAGCCCATGCATGACTTTGACAGGCACTTTTAATAATTACAGCATTCACCAAATTGCTTTTTGACGTTGTTGTGGTTTGGAAGTTTTTGGTTTCATTTTGTTTGCAATTTCATAAATTTAACACCACTTTGGAAGGTTGACACAAAAACTTAATAAAAATCATTTTTTTCTTTTCCTCATCTACTTTTGTAAAGTTCCACAGTTTGAAATACACACCAAACAAGTAAAATGTATATTTGAGTTATTTTGTAACAAACTAACACAGATATGTATCATGAGAAAAATATTCTTATGTGGCTGCCTATCTACCACTGGGTTGGAATGGAACCACCATTTGACCCAGTTACCCCACTCTTTGGCATATACCCAAATAACTTAAAATCAGTATACTCACATCAATGTTTTAGGAGTTCAACTCATGTTACCTATGGTATGGAACCAACCTAAATGCCCTTCAACAGAAGAATGAATGAAGAAAATGTGATACCTATACACAATGGAATATTATTCAGCCTTAAAGAAAAATAAAATTATGGCATTTGCTGGCAAATGGATGGAACTGGAGACTACCTTGCTAAATAAGCCAATCCCAAAAACCAAAGGTCCAATGTTCTCTCCGATATGTGGATGCAAATTCATAGTAAACGAGGTGGGGGGTGGACAGGAGGAATAGAAGTTCACTGGATTAGATAAACAGGAATGAAGGGATGGGGGGTAACAGGAAAGACAGTAGAATGAACTGGACATAACTTACCTATGTTCATATATGCATACACACACAACCAGTGTGACTCCATATCATGTACAACCACAAAAATGGGAAATTATACTCCATGTATGTATAATATGTCAAAATACATTCTACTGTTATGTATAACTGAAAAGAATAAAAAATATTTTAAAAAACCCTCCTTCAAACAGGTTTAATATAAAGAAGAATTAATGTCCCACTTATCTGAAATATTCAAAGTAGGGTAAATGAACTAGTAGCTCGGCAACATCACCAATAACCTAATTTTTTCCCATATTTCTGAACTGCCTATCTCAGTGCCAGCCTCACTAAAGGATGATTGTTCATGTTCCTAAAACTGCCCCCCAAATTTCTTCCTAACTAGTACCAGGGGAAAAGAGAACATATTTGCTCTAGCATTTTGACAAAAAATACTAACATTCACTCTAATTTTAACAGCTCAGGCCATGAAGCTACTCCAGATTCAAATGCTGTTACCAGGGACTGGCTTAGATACGGCCATAGGTGCCAATCCCACATCCAGGTTGGACTGATCCTCCTTAGAATCAACCCAGACAGAAAACAGAACCACAGGTAATGAGAAAAGAGAAATTACGCTGCAAAGGTATAAAATCTAACAAAGAAAAGAAAAACAGATGTATTCTCCCTTTGGTTAGGTTTTTGGCACCAGACTATACCTATTTTGTTTCAAGAATGTTCAAAGCACTGCTGTTTAAAATAGCAAAACAAACAAACAAAAAAATGGAAGTAACTTCAGTGTTCAACAATAAGAAGTCAGTTAAATAATTCATTGTATACACATATAATAAAATATTATATCAACAGTTTTCAACCTCTGAGATCAAAAGTATCCCTTTTAAAAAAGATTTAAAATTTATTGAGGATCCCAAAGAGTCTTTGTTAATGTGGTTTATAGCTATCATTCATTTAAGAAGTCAAACATAGGAAGATTTAAAAATATTTATTAATTTGTTTAAAAATATTAAATCATTACATGCTAAGATAAATATGATTTTTTTTAAAAAATCGTATTTTTAAAAAAATAGTGACAAGAATGGTATTGTTTCATTTTTGGAAATCTTATGACATAGTTTAACAGAAGTGGCTGGATTCTCAGATCTGTTTCTGCATTTAATCTATTTTGACATGCTGTTCTGGCAAATTGAACTTGACACAAGTATACAGTTGGAAAACAGAGGAATTTTACAGCTTTTTCAGATAATGGTAGACAGTTTTGAAATTATACCAAAACTGAATAAGTTATAGTTTAAGATAGTTGTAGTTTAAGATACCTGAGATCCAACAGATCTTTTATTCATGCATGATTATGTAACACCATGAATTAATCATCCAGAAAATACTGATTCATTGAGTTATGCAAATCTTCTAAACATATATAAAATCTTTAATATCAAGAGTCATATTTTAAAATTATTATCTATCTCATTAGATAAATCTTTAAGTTAAGGCAAGTGGCAAGTTTTTGGTAAAGGATACAAATTTTCCAAAATTATAAATTTTACTAGAAATTTCAAATATTATCACTGGTGAAGTGAGAAGCTGACATCATTTAACCTTGAGAAATTGTTGCTGAATAACCAAGTTTTCTGTCGGTCTGTTTGTTTGTTTGTTTTGGTGAAAATTATATTCCATGAAACAAAGTAGCCAATTCAATTCACAACTCAAATAATCAAACAAAATCAAATTTCTAGAGATGATCATCACACTTTGGCATGCAGCAAGAATGTTTTATGTGTACTTGACATTTCATCACATAGAACGTAAATGCATGGAAATGTACAAGAAATATCTAGAAAACTATGTATGACATATTTAATAGGTGTTCCCTTCTGGCACTGGGATGTGATAAAATGACAACACAGGGGACTTTTACTTTTTATTTATAGTTTGAGAGTTTTACAATTAAAATTCTTTTATGTATTATTATATATAACCAATTAAGGAAACAAGTAAATATGAGAAGGTCTAGCAAGATATACAAAGGGAGATAACTATGATTTCCTATCAGTAGAACTAAGGGTGATTTTCATTATCTTCTTTTTTCTACTTTCTGGACTTTGGTAATTCTTCTATAATAAACAAATATTTCTTCTTTATTAAAAATGATTATTTTTATTAACAAAAAAGTCAATCAGCCAGGTTTAATGGTGCACACCTGTAACCCCAGCTCTCAGGAGACTGAAAAAGAAGGATTGCAGATTGAAGGCCATTCTAGGCAACTTAGTGAGACCTCATTTCAAAATAAAAAATAAAAAGGGCTAGGGATAGAGCTCAATGGTAGAATGCCCCTAGGTTTAATTCCTAGTATTGTGGGGATGGGAGGCAATCAAGGTTCTGGAATGTATTTATAAATTATATGATGAACTGCTTAAAGACATATAATCATGGTTTACCAAACTCTGTCAGAGTTTGAGCTTCAGATATTTATTTGTACTACATAAGAGACATTAGAATCAAATGCGGAAATTCTAATAAAAAGGTATTTGGAGTAATTAAGTAAATGAAAGTTATATATGTATATATCTTTATAATATTTAACATGAAGGACATTGTTTTATTATTTGAAAAATATCAGAAGCTAGAAAATACAAAGTGCAATAGCTGCCTAATACAAATGGAATTCTTTTAACTTTCTTTTTCCCCACTTACATGTTTTCCAAAATACTGTTTCATTTTCACTGGTCTGGTCAACTAATACCATCTACAATGCATACACAAAAGCTTCTTTGAAAGACAGTAAGACAATTTGTGAAATAACTATGCTTCCTTACACTTGCAAGACAGATTTTTGGTAAAATAAAAAGATTTTATATCACATAATCACTATACAACTATTAATCTGTTATATATATCAAATCATCACATTACAATTTACAAATATATTATTATAAAAAAATTAAAAAGCAAGACACAACACATTCCCAAAATCAATCTGAAAGAAAATTTAATATTCTATTTTATGATATATTCACTTAGATTGAGAGAAGACTGAAATACTTTATCTGAACTGTGAAAAACTAAGATGCCAGTCCTTCAATATACAGGTGAGTTTTATTTTGGGATTAGAATAATTTTTTAGCTAAACTATTACTCCTAACCCTTTTCAAAAATAAAATATAGCTCTTTCCTCTTATAAAACAGTAAGACACACAAGGTCATTCTAGTAATTGCCAACTTAACTAAAAAGACCTTTCTTTATTGTTTTGGTCATTGATTTGTTGCTGGTGGCAGCTGATGTTTCACTTCTTTTGGCAAACCACTCAGGTAATTTTCTTTTTGAGGCTTCTGATGATGCAGCCTATAGGAAACAGAAAGAAAATACAAAAAAAAAAAAAAAAAAAAAAATCTCTATTACTGAAAATATACAGCATTTGCAAAAAAATAACACAGGTTCCTGGATATACAACCACCTTTCCTCCCCACACAAAACCAACCAAACCAAATAGTGACATCCATAGAAATTTATGGGTCAAAAAGTTAATAAAAAAAGAAATCATTATCATTTCTTTAGGCAATTACTTGCTATCCCGTCATCTGTTCTTAGACACTCAAGTCTAGGCACTAATGTAGTAAAGGAAGAATTTGGACATTATTTTAATCCCATAGTGAATCTGCTTTGGGTTAACCAAAATGGTGAATTTTTAATTTTCTGAGAAAGGCATACAGTCATGCATGCAGACACACATACATTAGGCATTTGAAAAAGAACATAACTTCTAATGTCCACAATGGCAGATAGACTAGAAGAGTGATCCAATTATTATCAGCACCTTGCAGAGTGATCAAGACACAGCAGACACTCATGAAATAGTCAATGAATAAATGAAAAATAATATTTTTTTAAATCTCAGAGTCCTTTGAGACTCTGCTGACAACTACAAATCCCCTTCCCAGAAAAAAAAAAAAGAAAAAGAAAAAGATAAATGAACACAGGTGCAACACTGCACACAATTTTAGCAACTCAAGCACTAAAAGCCTCTTAACTATAGGTTAAAAGTCCCTGGAAAAAAGAATACACAGGATGGGTTTGTGTACCATACCATCCATACATGAAAAAAAAATTTTTTTTTAAGTAGGCAAGAATTCCCTAACTCTATAATAGCATTAATCTGAGCATTCAGTTTGAGTACTAGAACTTCAGAATAATATAACAGAGAAATCATTCTAACATGAGTATGCCTTGGAATCAAGCAGAGTTAACAGTGACTGGAAGTATTTGAAGGCTTTATGAGAAGGTAGCTTTATTCAAGTTACAAAACATCTGTTACCCTCATGTATAGCTATAATATAATTTATTTTAAAAACTGATGGTTTATTTATATATTGTTTATCAACTGCTAGCTATGTTTTACTGTTATGTTTAAAAGCTATTTATGTTAAAATAGTTGAGGATAAGAAAAAAAGCAAACAATCACAGGCAATACACTATGAAACTTTATATTTTAAAAAGCTGTTAGTGCCATCCTGTAATCCCAGCTACTGAGGAAGGTTTGAGAAAGAAGGATCACAAGTTCAATGCCAGCCTGGGCAACTTAGTGAGACCAAATCTCAAATAAAAAAATAAGAGGCTGAGGGTGTGGACAAGTGGTAGAACACTCCCTAGGTCCAATCCTCAGTACTGTTTAAAGAAAAAGAAAAAATGTCCTTGGTTTAAATTCCAACTGAGACACATGCAATATGTATGACTCATGCATGTTATTTAAGTTTCTTCCACAGAAAAGGGTAATCATAGTATATATAACATCACTGAAGTAACTGGAGTTAAATGAAAACGTGCAAAATATCAAAACACATCTTGACTTATTCTTGGTACTTACTAATATTATTTTTTCCTACAATATTTCTATAGCATTTGTCAGTATTTATAATTATAACAATGATCTTATTTCATTGAGAAAAGAGGGGGAAATGCTTATTCACTGTGTCTTCTGTCTCAACAATCAGTATATGAAGAGACCTTAATTATGAGGTGTAAGTCATTTATTAGAAACATTGCTCTCCAGGTGTCTATTTCCTTTATCAGTAGAACAATAAAATTCCCAGCCATCATAAAAAGGAATTTTATGGGGCTATTTACCACTATTTGATGTTCCAAATTCTATCACCATTGCCATTAAGTTGTAATAGAAAACATTAACTCATTTGCTGATTATATGCCTACACATATTTAAGTAAAGAGAAATAAGTTATATTCACATTTAATTTCATCTATAACTAAGAAAATTCTATACATATTAGTTATCAAGCCTGACATATTTGTCATGAAAACTATTTTCATAAATCAATTTTACCTGTGAGTGAGAATCTAAAAATAAATCTTCTTTTTCTGGATAGTTAGATGGCTGACTCCAGGAAGTTGGTTTTATTGGATGTCTGTGATCTCTGTCTTTCATTGAAAAATTGTCAGAATGCATTCCAACAACCTTTAAAATTTTTACAAAATATAAAATAGTTATGTCATACACTATTCTCTTAGTTAAAAAAAAAATCTATTCCTAAGAAAGTAGAACAAAATCAGATAAGGACACATCAATGAAAACAATAGACCAATATCCCTGTGAACTTTGATGCAAAAGTATTTAATGAAATATTAGAAAATCATATTCAACAACATATTAAGAAGATTGTATATTATACCAAGTTCATTTTACATCAGGGATGAAGGACAGTTTAAAATATACAAATCAAGAGCTTCCAATCACTCCTGCAAGGTAGGCGGGCCTGCGACCCACCGGCAGAAGAGGAGCAGCGGCCTGCTGAGAGGCTGAGCCGCCCCCTCCCCCTGCGCCGGCATAGTAGAGGGAACTGTGACCAAACACAGAGCAGGCCCAGCGGCCTGCTGAGGGGCAGAGCCGCCCCCCACCCCCCGCGCCTGCCAGGTAGGTGGAACGGTGACCACCGACAGAAAAGGCCCAGTGGCCCGCGGCGGGACAGAGCTTCCAATCACTCCTGCAAGGTAGGCAGGCCTGCGACCCACCGGCAGAAGAGGAGCAGCGGCCTGC